AAGGTGAGCGTGCGGTGCGAAGGTGAACAACATGTGAAAGACTGGCCCTGGTCCTGGGCTAGCACTAACACCGGGTGCAACAATGATGAGCAACTACATGAATATAAGTAGGCCATATTGATGCAATAATTCTAATCAACAAAATAAACTTACTTGTGCATCTTATATGATCATTTTTGCATTTCACAACAGTGCAACATTTCTTATAACATTATGTAATCATGGCACGATATGCATAAATCAATTCAAAAGCATTTGTGAAAACAAATGTCCACTCACTGATACGTCGATGGTTCGTAGCCCCCTAGCCTCACTTGTCCTCGTACATCCTTAGGATAACTCTCCCCTATATGCGAAACAACTAATAATAATTAATTAATTAACACATACAATAAAAGCTAGGAAAAACTCCCTATAATTTGCTCAAACAGAAGGTTTAAATATACGAAACCACTCTACTCAACGTCACGAAGCATACATGTCAAGCACTTATCGGTAGGTGGCCGAACGTGCTTTTACACACCGGTTAGCCCATGGCCACACATGCCCCCACGCGCATATCAGTGGCTAACAGGCGTCAGGAATATTTTGTCAGACTTGAAGGAATATTTCGTCAAATAGTTAACAGAGTTTACCGGCGTTACCTGACGCCGTTAGAATATTCCATCAACTTTGATGGAATATTCATCGTCTTCTACGATGGACTTTCATCGGTCGCCGCCATTTGGTTTTGCCGGGAATTGGAAAACCTCGCTGGTTTCCAGGGAAAAATTCAAATCTTTATAACTTGCTCATTTCTCAACCATTTTTGATGAAAATTATATGGAAATGAAACTTTTGAGGTGTAGAACAAGTCTATGCCTTTGGAAGTCCAAAATGAACGGGAAGAGGCCTGAAAATGCCTCGAAAGTCTTGGCCTAAAACTCAACTCCTCGAAACTGTGTGTTTCGACATGGTCTCTACACTAAACTTAGCCTAGGGACTTCAAGAAGTTGTGTGGATGCTTCCACAACCTTCAAAACTTCATAACTCAGCCGGGATCATGTCGGAGTAAACTCGTCCGAGTCGAAGCTTCCGAGTTAACGAGTCAAAACTTAACCATTTGAGAATCGGTTTGTATGGTTGGGTTCGTGAGGATGAGAGGATCACGATGGTGGTGGTTTTATGCTCGATCTGTGAGGTTTTGATGATGATCCTTGGTGTTGCGGAGAACAGAGAGTCTCGGGATAGAGAGAGAAGGAAAATATGAGAGAGAATGAGTTAATGTCTTCTGATTGGTGGAAAAAGGAAGAGAGGGTGAGTCTAATTGGTAGAGAGATGCGAGGGATGAATTTGATTGGTGGGTGCACAACAAGTCACGGTTCCAATTTTAAAGAAGAAAAAGGATATAATTTTGTACAAATGAAGTCAGACAAAATCTAACGTACCCTATCAAAAACAGTGTTTCCAACACTGGAATATTAGTACTCATGTGTACAAATTTACCCGTTGTTAACACACTTTAACGTAACGTAACTTTTTCGTTACAAGTCCGATTCAAGCCTAACTCGTGTCCAAGCGTTCGTAACAACGAGTACTATTTAATTACGATAACGAGAAAAATAATTTAAAGCCGAAAAACCACGTCCATGTCGGGCATAAATGTCAATTCACATACATAGGGAGAAAATTACATAGAAAATTAGGGACGAGTCTTCACAACTTGGGTAGTTATTGTTCACTAAAAGTCGTTACTATTCACTTGGGGGGATTGAATTGGCTATTGCCCGAGGTTTTTTAGAGGTGGAAATGCTCTAATGCAATTAATAGGTCTTCGCAATTAAATTGTGACAAGGACTCCCCTGTCCTTTTCTTTTATAAGAAGAAATTAAAAAATCCCAAGTTTGAAAAATTAAGAATGCGTGAAAGGAGTTCAAAACATTGTATTAGTGCATAATGAGATTTTGAAGTGCTAATAACAATTCAGTTTCTTGATACTAGTAATAATTAAGCTTCCACATAATTTGTCGGAAACCTTGTATTAGTACATAGCTTCCATATAAGTTTTTACTAGCCCTTGAAAATTCTTAGTTCTATTTGATATTGCATGTGACTTGTGATCCTCAAATTATTATTCATTTTTAATAAAGACACTGTGAACGCTCAAAATTTGCAGGTTAACAAACTAGAATACTAAATCTTTGATGGGCTTAAGATGTGAACTGTAATGAAATGGACATAAAGATTTAAGTGGTTCACTCCTCAAAACTGGGCTACATCCACTGTGTTGCACAAATTCTATTAATTGCAAGACTAAAATCGCGCTCGGCTAATACATTAATTCTCTCACTATTTTTTTTTGTTCCATCTAACCCTCATGTTAGAGGGTTTCACCCCTTTATATAGGCCCTTAGTGAATCCCTGAGCCTTGGGTCCTTCCTACTTGGCATTCAATGTGCCGCCTCTATACGTAGACTAGCTTACTGACATCTTTCACTTGCCAACCAAACATTCACAATGAAGTGATGGGTGTCCAATGAAGATAGCACATATTCCCAGTGAAAACTTCACAGTCGGCCTCGGTCATTGAACCAGTCTCTCCAAGTGTGTTCCGGCTCAATTTATGTCCTTATCCTAGGTCCCTATTGCTAACTTTGGGTCGCCAAATGGCTTGATTGACGTCTGAGTAGATCTTTTTTAGAGACTTGTGCCATAAAGTTGTTAATCTGCCCACATGCTTTTGGTAGTCAACAAGCCATTCATATACTCTGGTCAGTCGGTGTTTGCCAGGTAGTTTACTTTCAACGTTCGGACGTATTCTTTTCTAAGCCCCTTGGACTTTGGCCTTTTGTATCTCCTAAGCTTTGACTTTGCTTTGGGCTCTTCGTGGCTTCTTGCCAGGCCATCACCCTTATGTGCGCCTAAAAGTGCCCAACATTAACAAATACAATAACTAGAAGAGATAACTTTAAATTACTGATATTCTCTAGATAGTTTTTTATGATAGTTGTCACATCCCAGTCCGTATAGTAAGATATTGTCCGCTTTGGGCCATGCCCTCACGGATTTGTTCTTGGGTTTCCACCCAAAATGCGTCTCACTATAAGGAGGCGGGCATGTACATATAAGGCACATCATTTCCTCTCTCTCGGGCGATGTGGGATCTTACAATCCACCCTTCTTAGAGGCCCGACGTCCTCGTCAGCACACTTCCGGCCTGGGAGTGGCTCTGATTCCAAATTGTCACATCCCAGTCCGCATAGTAAGATATTGTCCGCTTTGAGCCACGCCCTCACGGATTTGTTCTTGGGTTTCCACCCAAAACGAGTCTCACTATAAAGAGGTGGGCATGTACGTATAAGGCAAATCACCTCCTCTCCCCCAGGCGATGTGGGATCTTACAAAAGTACTCATGATAGAATAAAAAGAAGATAATGGTTTGGGGTTTAGTTAGTTAACTTGAAAAAGAAATGTAAAACAATGTAAGATGAAAAGATTGCTTTAAACTACGTGCACACTCCTAACACAAATTTTAGGGATAACAAGACCACGAAGGTGTTTTCTAAAAAAACAAGGGTTGCAAAAACTTGTTATTCAACTTTGATTTTCAGTGAAAAAATAGACAGAAATAAAAAGCTGTTCTTTTATTTACGTGATGTGAAGAAGATTAATAGGAGTAGTAATAAGCGATTTTTTTGTTTATTGAAAATGGAAAGAAAATTATGGTTTAATATGTTACACCACAAAGTTTGGAGGTCATTTGAAAAATTATTCATGATGTTTCAATTTTTGTATTACACCATGTGGTTTCTAAATTGCATCAATTTAACCTCTTTGTAACTTTAATCGTTTAATTAGACGTTAAGTGCTTACGTGACATAGATTGGGCTCACATTTTAAGCACACGTTAATATTTTTTTATTTTTTTGAGTACATCGATATTTTTACACTAAGAGATGAGAAGTTTGGCAAAGCCACACAACGGACAACCTAATTTGGTATCGAATTCGCCATCTACGATATTCAAATTTAAGACCTCTCATTTCCAAGTAATGAGGAATACCATCAGACCATAGTACTGAATGACAAGCACACGTTAATATTAATGTCTAAAAAGAATTGAAAGAGTGAAGTGCTAAACATTCAAATTGACAGTCAACTAGTACTTAAAATGTGGGTCATGTCTATACTATTTCAGCACTAAGTGTCTAATTAGACAATGAAATTGATGAAGATGCTAAATTAGTGCAATTAAAAAACTAAGTGGTGTAAAACACATAAATTGAAACCTCGTGATTCATTTGACAAATAATCTCCAAACATTATGGTGTAAAATGCAATTAACCCTATTGTTTTAACATTAAAAGAACATTGTATATAGATTTGGTTGTTAAAACATTGCATATAGATGTTAAATCGAGTCAGATAATGATAGGGACATTTGGTAAGCCAGTCAAGGCAAGAGTTGCCTTCCATGGTGGTAATTAAAAGAAGCTGGCTCTAAATATGGTACAATACCTGTAGCCTATTAGCCTATAGCCTCTCCTCTCTGTGTTTACTGTTACATTCATCAGAATTGTCCTCTTCTCCATCTATCTCTCTCTTTTTCTCTCTTTCTAGGGCACCTATACGTAGCCCTCTTAAAATTCGCATAGATTTATGAATAAGTTTTTCATGAATATCAAAATCATGAAAACAACTTTCATACAACGTATTTAACAACTTCTATGCCACGGGATTAAAAGTTAATTTCTTTTTATATCTTTCTCATCGAATACCATCCAATTATATAGACACAAACACAGAGGATTCTGAAAAAGGATGGCTAGGTTAGGTCGCTTTCTCGCTCCCACCCCTGCACTCACCCACGTGATGTGTCACCGTTCACTTACATGTTCAAATTAAGACTCAAGAGATATCATCAGTTGCACTACTAGCTAGATGTCTACCTTATATGTATGTGTCTGTGTGTATATATAGCTTTACCTAGCTATCCTCTGTCCCTCGTCTTCTTTCCGTAATTCGTTTCCACTCACTCACTTTCTTTCTTTCTTTCTCAACCCAGTGCTTCTACTGTTGAGGAGGTCACCATTTGTTGGTTGAATATGTAATAATTAACGGTGAAGCAAATACCAGTTTCCAGGTCTTGTTTTAGCTCTAAACCAACAACAAAACACCACCATCGCTCTCATCAGGTTGTGCGCCTTGTGTTTTTCTCTATGGCTTTTCATATCTAGCTGCGTCATTTCCTTTTAGGCTCTCTTGATATACATGTGGAAGAACAGTAACCCTCCAGGGCTTCCGCACAGTAGTCGATTTATTTCTTGCCCTTTCTCTTTACTACTACTGTTTGTGTTGTTTTTCCGGCGGTCAAAGCAGCACCGAATTAAATGAGACTTGTCATGCACCATCACAATCTTTAGGGTTTTGTGGAGCTAAAGAGTTGTCATATCCAATTATATCCATGTTTCCTTCTAGCAGCACTACTAGTAATTTCCAGCTACCTTTTCTATGTGATGACAACCAGACAAATGCTATTATTGATGATTTTCATCAAAACCCTAATTCAATATTATCACATGGTGGCCATCATCAATACTATTCACAGTACTACTACTCTGAAGATCAGCAGCAGCAGGCACCTGATTTTCTTGAGCATGATGGAATGCTCTTGAGCTACTTGCTATCTCAACAGCAGCTCTTGCTTGGCAACTCCAGTACTACTACTAATGTAGCGACTGATAACAACCACACTCGAGCTCACGAGAGCACTGAAATTAGCATCGCGGCTTCAAATTCAAACAAAGCAATGGTGGTTATCAATCGTGACGATGATGATGGTCGCAATGAGCTCACCGTTAACACGGCTGTAGCTTCAAAGATTAAGAAAAATAATGTGAAGACTAGTGGAGGAGGAGGAGGAGGAGAGAAAAAGGCAAAGGTTGCTCGAAAGAGAGCGAGTGGGAAAAAAGACAGACACAGCAAGATCTACACAGCTCAAGGCCCGAGAGACCGGCGAATGAGGCTGTCCGTCCAAATTGCCCGTAAGTTCTTTGATCTTCAAGACACGTTGGGATTTGACAAAGCCAGCAAAACAATTGAGTGGCTTTTCACGAAGTCCAAGAGCGCCATCAAGGACCTCAAGCAGCACCTCCTCGTCTCACCCAAGGAAGATTACAGCAGCACAAATGGTGGTGCAACTGCAAAGGTGAATTCATCTGAGAATACTACCGGTGAAGTCACATCGAGAATTATGGAGCCTAGTAGTAGTGCTGCAAACGGTGACATTTCCGTTGGGTTCGGTAGAGAGAAAAGGAACAGGAAGTTGTGCGTAGTTGCGAGGGAATCAAGGGTCGAGGCAAGAGCAAGGGCAAGGGAGAGAACAAGGGAGAAGATGATGAGGATCAGAGGGTTTGATCAAGATCATCAGCATTTAACAAAGCAAAGTCCTAACCATCATGAACATCAAAACCCTAATGAATTGTTTGAAACAGCTGGAATGATGAACTCCGCGATGATGAGCACTAATTGTTGCAACGATGGTCAGAAAATTGTGGGCAGAACAAGTAGTAGTTGTGGTGGTGCACAAAGATCGTTTTTGAATTTTGATTTTTGGCGACATGTTTCAGAGGCAAGTAGAGCAAATTCCGAGGATTGTGGTTTTCCAGGGAATTGGGGAGCAATCAACTACACCAAGAATATTATTACAGGTAACGTGCTGCAAGTAGAGCAAAACCCTACCTCATACCCAAAACAACAGAACCCTAGATCAATTTTTGGGACCGGTACCCAAGAGCAAAACCCTAATTCAAGTTTTCTCACCACCTTTATCAAGGCTCAAGACCCATAACTCCACTACCTATTCAATTTCGAGATCAATTCAATTACTCTGCAGCCCCAGTTTAATGGAAATTAACGAATCTTCTTGCACCTCCTCCAGTTCCTCCTGCTATATATAGCTAATCAAGCTCAGTATCCGAATTCACTGGTAATTTGTATTGAAGTAGTGTATTAGTATCTTTGAAAGTGCGAGAAAAATGATTTCAGGAGTTCCTTTAAACTTTATTCAAATGCATTGTTGGCAAATGTAATGTGGAGATGTCGTGATTTTCTTGAAATTATAAAAAAATCAGTGCAATACAGTGTCAGGTACTATAATAGTTTGATTGGAGATTTTATATTATGCCTAGCATCGTAGTGATTTTATATTCTGACCATCGCCTTGATTTTCCGTAATATAAATTCTCCTGAATTATTATGCTAGCATATATAGTACATATTCATTGATCATTTACATACAAGTATCCAATCACTGGAAAATAGTGTTGCAACAATTCAGTTTTTCCTAAAATTGCAAAGAAAGACAAACAAGAGTAAACTGTACTATATGCATGCCACATTTCAAATATTATTTTGCATTGGATATGTATTTCTCTATGTATAGCAAACCTGCAGCAAATAACAATCATTAGGATGATAATAGGCATATATTCCTTTCCCAGCTCATTGATCTCCTATGCAATATATAACCTACCCACCCACGGATACTGCAACGAAAACCATAAGCTTCTCGGAGAGAATTTATAAATCACAGGTTGATGAGTGCTCTCCGCTTGGATGGACGCCACGCCATGATGATGGTTTTTCTTGCATACACGGAAGTCATGAAAACAGCTTGATTAGATATTCATTTGTTCTAGTAGCTAGGCTTCAGTAATATAGTTTATCGCCCTATTTTATCAAGTTTAAGGTCTAAACGTTATTATGTTTTGCCAGCCTAACTTTGGTTGCATATGTTTAATTACAGTGCTGCAAATTCAAAGGAATCCAGTATAATGTTCTGTTTATGCTAACTTATTCTTGTTTGCTGGGTAGCCTAGCTAGATTGAAAAGCATTATATATGTACATATTTTATTAAGTACTATAAATTAAATGTGCCTAGCTACCCATATATTTCTTTTGTTTGTGTTTTCAAGCTTTCACAAAGTATAAATTTTGCTTCAGCATTTTCATAACCTAGCTATTCTAGGAATATTTAGACTGCTATACAAATTGTGATATGCTATATCTCCTACAAATTAATTTTTTAGTGGATACTGGTTGAGGTGAAAGATACTATCTCACAATCAATCAGTGAAGAAGTCTGCATATTACTATTTTCGGCCCTTGATGATGAGCACAGTAAAAATATTTAGTATCATTTCTTCTTGGAACCTTTATATTTTTACGCTGGAACTTATTTGCGCAGTTAAATGATAGTTTAGATCGTTCATATTTCAACGAATGATCACTATATTCACATGATTTCTGTGTGCTTTTGTATCTCTGGAAGAGTCCTGAGATAATTGTTCTTTCCACACAGAGCATTGAAGCTGAATTCTCTTGAGATGATCCACTATTCTGTGGAATTTCATGTATACTTGTGTTTTCCACTTTGGGAGTCATATTCTCTGTCTGGTGAGCTTGAATTTTACAATATTGTTAACTTTCAGTACATCATGTACCCCAAAGAAATGAATGTAAAGGGACGGGTTAGCATATACCATCTTCTTTTTTTCTCTCTCACTTCCTTTTTCTAGCTGATCTTCATTTTGGATCTTGATCTTTCTTGTGATAATTTAGCTTTCAGATTCCTGACCTACCCATGAATTAAACTTGCCTCTCCACCAAAGCTAAGCTTATTTAGAACCTCTAAGATCGTATATGTTACTTTTCATCTTTCTTTGTTACATGAAAAGTGAATTTCACACCATTTTTCTCCTCCCACACACCTTTCTTTATTTCTGATCTTCAGATTGAAGAAACTAAAGGAGAATTAAAATGTGTACGAAAATCACTTCCCTTATTATATACATTCATCCTAACAATTAATTTGTATTCTTGTGACAATATTGAGTGTTTATGGGTGGTTAGTTCTGCTGCCTAGACTCCCCCTAGCTATATACTACCTGCTACATATATACGGTCTGGATCAGGAGATAAGAATTTTACCCTCTAAGCCAACATGTTAATTGGCTCCAGTTTTAACTGCTTTTTCGTTCAATTCATTTAAACCCAGCTGCCTTGACTAATAACACTTTCATCCAGAACTACTACTGCATCTGCATGCATATTAGCTTTCACTAGTCCAGCAATTGGGATTTGAAGCAAATTCACATTCTTAATTTATCACATGCATATCTATTGCTAAATCTATTTTTCAAACAAGACAAAAGAAACGTACGATTGAATGCATAACAATACAAACAGTATATCGGGTTGTAATAAAGGTAATGACGAAAATATAAACTCAATAATTAAATTTTAGGGGGGCGCAGCATATAGAATGAGCTAAAGCATTAACATCCAAGAAAGACAGTCTGCGGGATGATTAGGGTTCTAGTACACTGACCTAGCTACAAAACTTGCAATGATCTCTTTGCCTGATCCAAACCAGGCAGTTCCTCCATCTCCAACTAATCAAGCAAACGCCATGAGCATAAAACAAAAAATGGGCACAGTGAAAGAGACTGTAAGTACTTGTAATTATCTAGCTGCACTTCTGCACAAAGTGTGTGTGTGTGTGTGTGTGTGTGTTGTGTGTGTGTGAGAGAGAGAGAGAGAGAAAAGAACCCTAAAATATGGCTTTGTGGTAATAGAGAGCTGCCACTCCTGTCTCTCTTTTTCTGCATATATAGGGTTTATTTTATTGTATCTTGGATTAGATTTGGTTTCACCGAAAACTCATCAGTTTGCGTGATTTTATGGTAGTGTTTGGTGGACTTAGGCCCTTGTAGGCTCTACGTTCATAGTTGTTTTAGATTAAACAGTTGTCCATCAATGGCCAGACTCAGAGGAGAAGACTCTGAAACTTCTATTATATGTCGGTGTATAAAATAGTTAGTTGAATTTAACGGTTGGATATTCACTGAAAAATGCAAGAGGATTTAAGTTAACATACTACACATTGATAGACTTGGCATAAAGAAGAAAATATTGTAAACACGAAAATCCTGTGACAAATGAGACAAGAACACGTGTACAAAGTAAATGTTTGTATTAATGAATTTGTAGGGTTACAATCTTTACAACTTGATCCTTTGTTTCGATCTCCGAAATGTGTAGATGTATAGTGTTGTTGATTCAAAGATCGCGGTGACTTAATCTTGGATGAACGAATGCCGCAAGGTTTTGGCTCTTGGCAATGGAGGAACCAGCACGTGTAGGGTGCTTGGTGGTTCTTCACGGGATTTGATAAAGAACACGAAGAATTTTCCAAGTCTTCTTGAGTGTTTGAGTGTTTAGGGGGTTTGAGTGCTCGAGAGCTGCAGGGTTTCAAAGCTTCAGCGTTTGGATGTGAATGATTTTCTGTATCATTTTCTTTTTCTTGGAGCCTCTTATTTATAGACTTTCCTAGCCTTAACTACAGATGGATTCGACCTTGATTGTGGGCTTGATTAATTGATGAAAGAACCAAGACTTGATTTGACTCCATCAATTAACATTTGACTTAATTAAATTAAAATTAAATAATTCATTTCCGCCAAGTGTTGACACGTGTCTTTCTTGATGACTCATCTGATTTTGTTGAGTCACACACTATGTGTACAATTTGTGCGACACATGGCACATGCCACATATGTCTTAGCATGTCGAAACTTGAATGAGTTGGAAGAATATTATTTCACCGAAATTTCGATGTTTACAAAGATATTCTCAAAAGATAGGAGTAGAAAAATGGCGTGCCCATGAAAAAGAGGAGTGAGTCTAGGGAATCCAAACAAGATCTTGGCAGTACCAACTACACACAGTGACAGTTAGATACACATTTAATCATACCGTATTATTGGTTTCTTCTTTCTTTCTGCATATATTTACAACTTACTCTGCCACACAGTTGTACAACACCAAACCATGCTTGTGTTTCTCTTTTACTACAAATTACAGAAGCAGAAAATGCTTTTAATTTCTTGTGCACATTTCTTAATGTAAGCAAATTAAAGTTACCTTAGCTCACGATGATTAAAGTCATTTGCCTTTTTACAAACGATTCCTGTACAGGAACTGCAGCTTATGTCAACTGAACAATGAACAACAATGCATGCATGAACACCTCGATCGATGATCGGTCGCTTAACTTTCAAAGGGTCTTTTAGGTTAAGCTCTCACATAATTAGTGAGACTTTTCGAGCCCCGATTATCAAAATATATGCTAAGTTTAGCAAACAGATTTTCAATACTACATTTACACCGAATATTCTGTCCTAGTTTAAGCTAAGGCAACATTCCGTTTGCGAGTGATTACAGGAGGGTTCGGAATCAAATTTCCCAAAAGAAACACATAAGAGGCGCTTCTCGTATGAAAATTATCAACCAAATTCCTCAAAAGAAAATGTATGCTTGGTTTAATTAGTTATGTTACCCGAGATAAAAAGGCTATCTTTAACAAATCACTGTCAGTAGGAGAAAATGCATCCTAGCAGCCGTTTCACTTCATTACTTAAAATATGATCATTTACAACACCATATACACACATACACTATCGTAGCTGAGCCAGATCTCCTGCACAGAGGAGAAGAACGAAGGCCAGGGACATGGTAACAAGAAAAACCAAAACAAATGAATCTGAAAAGACAAGGACGTTCATATTTTACATGCCCCATTGCCCATATCAACGAGGCAAACCAAAAGTAGAAATCACATATGGTGTTCGATGACTAGAAGCGTCTCACTTTGACTGCTGTTCCATTTAGCCTGCCTGAAGAAACCGTATTCTGAGACCATGATGATGGCTTGAACCCGCCTGTAAGTAAGTTGGACGCAGCAGCAGCACTTATTCTTCTTCTCTTAGATTGTAGTTCCAAACTCTTCTCATTCGACATAGAACTCCCAGATGAACCAGGAAAAATTGAAGCAGCGTTGATTAGTGCTTGCTTATTCTTCCTATTTTTTTCAAACTTGGAAACGAACTTCACACGTGACGCAGCAGCAGCATCCTCCTCTGCCACCGGAAGCAGTCGTATACCAAGACCCATCTTCCTTGAAGTAGCCTCTTCTTCGGCAACTCTTTTCTTTTGAGACTGAAATAAAACAATAGTAAATAGTGAGGAAACCCTTTATGCAATGCCAAATTCAACACTCAAGTTCAGTTCATCCTCACTTCACTTGTGAAGCAGAAAAGGCACACACACACACACACACACACACACAAACACGCACAGAAGAAGAGAGATTTCTAATCATATTATTTAGATCTAAATACTTTATAAGGAAATATGGGTAGGGCAGACTAAAAACTTCTAATCATCTCTCCATGTATTCAATTTTCATCTCTCTGTTACATAAATCATAAAGGTGAAGTAAAACGTAATAATTTTGACTTTTTTAATATCAACCAATGTATGCTGTGTGAGAAAAACATTTAAGTGAAGAACTAAATATGATCAGGTGACATACTCTAAGTTTGGCTCTGAGGGCCTTGTTGAGGGAATAGTCATCTAAATGCCTGTCATCAGAAATTCGCTGTAGGCGAACGAGTACTGGCTCGGCTTCTTTCTTCTTTTGCAAATCCTCTTCTTGGTGTTCAAGTCGATAAAATGGATCCGCAAGCTTTCCTCTTTCTGGAAAACAAAAAAATAACTTTTGGTAAGAGAGCAAAAAAGGAAACATCAAAAGAATGCAGCAAGTGGTCCAACATCTCTAGAAGAATAATTGAACCCTTTTGATCACCCGACTGACATTAACAAAGAGCGGTGAATGTACTCCATTCACTCCCTTTCTTTTACTTCCTTTTTTGGTTGAGTTCAAGTTAAGTTAATTAGAGAACAATAAGCTCAATCTATTTCAATAAGCCATTAAAAAGTCACCAAAGAAAACACTATTTGCATCGACTTCTAAACCAACCTTCATCAGCAGGAAGTTCAAAGGTTTCCGCATCCTCAACGTCAAATTCCTCATTCTTCTGCGTGGCCCCACTAATAATCACATATTTGCAATTCTTTGGATCTGTCTGAATTACAATCTCTTGTTTGCAGCAAGGAGACTTCATGGTAAAGCTCCATATCTGGCAGGAAGTAAACCCTGATCGTTAATAAATGCATTTAACTAAAACCGGAAAGAAAGAAAGAAGAAGAAAGGCAGGCGTAAGAAAACACATTATGCGTGTTAAAATAATGAATACATGGATTTCCATTGATCAAAGGGTAGCAAAACTATTAATAGCCAAGTAAATTCTGAATGAAAAAGTCAGAAGGATCGGCACCAGTTGGATGGAATATACACCTTTGTAGAATAGTAATTTCCAACTTGCTTTTTTTCTGCATTAAAACGAACACCCTTTGCAATCATAGAATTGCAACCACCGCACCATATATGGTAAGGCATCTCGAACCTGAACGCATGACAATCAATTATCAGAATGACACACATATGTTAGCCAAGATTTCATTAAATTTCCCATTTTCCACCCAAACTACTGAATATCATTCAACCCAGTTTGCACGAAAAAGCACATAACTGCAAATGCTTACAGTAGAGTACAGTACAAACCACAGATTTCACATACAAGTGTCTGTACATATTACAAACAGTGACACAGTAGGCACTATACAAAAAAGGGAAAAAAAAAAAAAAAAAAAAAAAAAAAACTATTCCAAATAGATTAATTCCTACAGAGTATAATATACCAGCAGAAGTAATTAATAGTTCAAACAAATCCTAACTAATGTTATCAGTAAAACGAAGTAACTAAGTTTCCATGTTCCATTTAGAGCTTATCAGAGACATAAAGTGGAAAATGACATAAGTGAAACTATCATCACACTAAACGAATCACTTATGAAACTAAAACAAGAAGGAAAGAAGAATTCAGCTTGTCAAAAAGGCTTTAATTTCACAAAAGGTATCGCATAGAATCTTCTCACTGGGGAACGGTTTAGTAAGATAATAACAAAGAAACGAAAATTGATCTCATCTCTCGTTATTAGCTATTACGAGGAAGTCACTCAACCACATTAAAACTTTCCATTAAAAATGCTTCCTGAGACACATTTAGACTATCTAACAAACAGCTAACATATGAGCTTGAATTGTTACCTTATAATCAAAATCCCCTGGTCCAATTTCCTTGCTCTCTCCCTCAGAGCATGTTGACCATTGAACTTGTTCAAGGAACCCTGAAGCAAAAAGCAACATTAGAACTCCATATACCAACAACCCCACCATGGCATACTCTAACAGGAGTACAACAGAAGCATACCTTCTTTGGCGACCATTCTGGGGGATAATAAAAGTTGTCTGCCCTAGCAGCTGCAAGTGTAGACTGCAAAGAACCAGGTAAAACATTTAGCAGATTGAACAAATCAACAAGCAGAAAAAAAGAAAAAAAAAAATCCTAAATATTACAAAAATACAAATTGCCAAAATACAAAAGATTCATCACAAGCCCAAGTATTTCTATCCGTCATTTGATAACGATCACATACATTAGAAAAAATAACATCCCAATTTTTCCTTCCTAATATAAATTGCCAAATTACAAAAGATTCATCACAAGCCCAAGTATTTGTATCCGTCATTTCATAACGATCACATACATTAGAAAAAATAACATCCCAATTTTTCTTTCCTGAAGAACCATATGTTTTATATATATCCTATACATTTAAAAATCGAAATAGCATCGCCACAAAATCCTCTTGAGCTCATTGGGTCACCTAAAATCTTAGAGGAGCAACATTGTAGATTAATTTTAAACTATCAGTAATGAATCAATGCGATCGTAGGTTCTCAAAAAATCACAATCGAAAGCAGAATCAAATTTGTGCACAATTAAAAATTAAAATCCAAACACTCCAAAAATTGGATATATTCAATGTGAAAAATCAAACTTTATCTTACATTGAAAGCTTCGTTTGACAGTAAGTTAACAAAATTCAGATTAATTAACTCGAGAAGAAACCCCGAGAAAACGAGTCTGAATTTGATCCGACACCAAAACCTAATATTGCAATAGCTTCAATAACGAATAAAAAACCCTAATCTAATAGAGATTGGAGGAAAGAGATGAACTTTGCATACCATTTTCTCTTTCCTGAATTGCTACTCGGTCGCCGGAGTGGTTCCGCTCGATTCAATCGCTCCGTTGAAGTTTTGGTTCCTGAAATTTTCTTATGCCCCCTTTCCTAGTCGGTTCTCAATTTTTTCCTGTTGGACATAATACGGGCCCTGGCCGGCTGGCCCGGCCTTTTATTTTTTTGACAATCCTTCCAACAATATGGAAACCTATTGTCCTAAAGGCCCAAACCAATAAAAAACAACTTGATCGTTATAAGGGGCTCGTAACTTAGATCTGTGCTAAGGTTTAAGACGAAGAGGAAATAAGATAATGTTATCCACACACCTATTTTTACTTCTCACACATCTCTTTTAATTTCTGACACTAACGAATTAAGATCAATGAATAAAAGTTAACAAGAATGTATGGAAGGTAAAAAGAGTTTGTGAATCGCACTACCCTAAAAAGATCGTCAAACAATTTGAGTTAGTTGTATAATTATCACACTCAACATTTATATCAGTTGAATTTAAGACTTTTTACTTATTAGTATCTACGAGTGTGTTATGTTACATATTAAACATAAATTAAATATAAAATACTCACTAATAAATTAAATATAAAATACTCCCTTTTCAGTTTTTTTTCTCAGTTTTTACAAAGAAAAATAGATGTTGAAATGGGGAGAGAAAATTTGAACTTAAAACTTTTTAAAACTTTTTTTTTTTCCAATAGAAAGAAAGAGTCAAATAAATTAATTAATGGATTAAGGGCTAATTCGTTAAATTGAAATTAACATTATAACTGTGGAAAATCACTTCATATACACAATGGAGAGAAGGTACGTTTGAGTGGCATGTGCATGGATCATATATTTCATGATGAATTTTTTTCTTAGAAAAGATAAGTAATAGGTAAGGATGACATGATTTAAACTCGAAACATTTTATTTAAAGAAATGGCATGGTATTATCTAGGGCATTTGTCATATATGTGCAAATTCAAAGCGGGTGGATATTTACTTGTTTGAGTGATCAACGGTTGCAAGTCAAAATTAGATGACTTCTAAAGCATCTCCAAATGAGATGTTAAATTGTAAACATAAAATATAATTTTGACAGCCTATGTGACACTTTGACATCTTTCAAGGTTTTGCTCTCCACCAAATATGTTAAATTAAACTATTAATTTATTACATTAAACTATTATAATAAATGTTTTTAAAAAAAATTAATAAAATGCATTTGATAATTAATTAAAGAAATTGGAGTTGCCGACAATTTTGGCCACAAGGGTGAAGGCTGCCAATCCATGTCCTATCATATTATATTTGACATTTTTTATTGGAAAACGTTGTTACTATTTTTTTTTTACTATTAATATTGATTTGGACATTTTGACATCGATATGCTATGAAACCCTTACTTATAGTTAACATTTTTCACCCTGCAACTAATTATTATAGTTAGGCTAAATGCCCAAAAGCGTGATGCACATATTAATCAGTTGGCCGAGGGTCAACAAACTCCATGATGATTTTTTACAAGAAATTATAGTTTTACATAATTGCGAATCCCTTATATAAACAGTCAAAATCAATGAAAAGTTGTGTCTGTCAATCATGAGTTCAATTTATTTTAAATGTAATTTTTTATGTTTAATTACAAATTCAAAAACTAAATGTTACCATCCCTAAACTATCCTCGTCGCAGCCTCACATATGATTATTTAATTAGCGAATTATTTCTAAAGTAAAGAGTTTAAAGTGTTTTTTTTTTTTTTTTTTTTATAAATTGTGATGTTATCAAAAACTTCTAGAGCACCTTTAACCGACAAAGCACTTCTTTCCGCTCTTTATGAGGTTTCCTACTTCATCTTGAATTTGAATATGAAATTTCCTCTTTTGAGGTAGCAGAAGAACGAAAAAAGAATTAATTGAAGACAGTAATCTGTGGATGGAAAGAGTACCGCTGCCCTGACGACTCAAAACTCGTTATTTGTTAACTAAGCAGGGCAGTTCCATACTCTATTTGGTACATGAAAAAATCAGATCAAAATTTGTATAGTATTGCCTTTTCCACGTCCCACTTTTTGTAGCAGTTCAGGAAACAATGTTTTGTCCCTCACTTTTTCTAAACAGTAGTTCCCACATTGCTTTGTCAGTAGATAATGTGGATTGCATATCCCCCACTCTTTTACTTAGTTGCAATCCACTCAACTAATTAACCTACGGAGTTTTACTTTGCAACCATTAATTGAGAGAAGTTGACAGTAATCCCCACACTAATTGCATATTCTGCCAATGCATCAAGTATATTCTAGAAACAAAATTTAAGCTTAAATAATAATTTAACATATGATTTAGGGTTTGACAAATAGATATTATAACCTTTTTTTTGCCTTTATTTCTAAGGAACTTTATTTGGGAAAAGGGTCTACCGCCAGCCCTCTCCTTTTCTTCTCTCCTCCTCAACATTAAATTAGCATAAAAAGTGGCAAGTTTCACTTGAAAGGCAGGAGACCCAGCATTTTCAAACACTCTTTTTTTTTTTTTTTAAATTTTTTAAAACAACTAAATAAATCTTACTCTAGTGACTCCCATAAATCTTTCTGAACTAATCTAACAACTCTATTGTGAGGAGCCACAAAAATATGACAGTCATACTCCAAAGAAGGACCAATTCCTGCTAATTTATGCACAACATAGTTTTCTTCCTTGTAAGTGTGTTGAATTCTACATTTGCCACCACATTAAAGATTACAAGAAGCTATCAAGTTAAGGAGAGGGTGCAGAGGATCACAAGCTAACTCACCAAGTATATCCACTGCACTTTAGAATAAGACTCAATAATTTTCTAGAAATTTTTTGTGTAACCGAAACACTGTTACATGATATATTATTCTACTAAACTTATAACATATGCGAATTTTTTATTAATATACCTAAGAAATCGAACATGTTAATTATATTATTTACTCATATTATAACACGTAAAATGATATACCACATAATATGTATTTCAAGTACATAAATTTTATTTTTCTCTCTCTCCATTCCTAATATATATATATATATATATATATATATATATATATATATGTCTATATATAAAATATATATCTTTAGCAGATTAAATTTGATCAACTTAAGCTGTCAAGAAAAATTGGGAAATCTTTATCTCTATTGGGTTTCTTCTCATTTAACTGATCCATGCTTCCCCTTCTCACCCTTCTCCTCTATCTCCTCCTCTTATTCCACCATGCCCTTGAGAATTTCTCATCATCTTCTCCTTTCCACCTTTCTTTGCCTCTCTCTCCTCTGCTTGATCTTGTTTCATGAATATTTCCACAACTACTCCAAGATTTCCACCATTAATATTCACAAACAAAGCATAAGGTCTTATTCGTCGTCATCATTTTCTCATCATGATCAGCGTCGCCTTAATAGGATCAGCAGAAAAGTGTTGGCAAGCAAATTTGACTTCACTTCATTTGTACATCCTCACCAACAACGCCAAAGGTCATCAAAAAGTTCACCGGATGATCACCATCACATGCAAGCACAATCGAAGGCCCCAAGCGATGATCCGACGGAGATTGATCCACGTTACGGTGTTGAAAAGCGACGTGTTCCCACCGGTCCAAACCCTTTGCACCATTGATCATGCCAGCATTCATTTCTCAGGTGATCAAGTACTACGTATGAAGTGAAGAAAAGATAAATAGAGAAAAAAATATATATATGTATATTAATGTTATTAGAACGTTAATTATCACCTACATCTGTTGTTATTCCAACTCTTTTAATTATTTTTTCTTTTCTTGTTGATAAAAACATCATCTAGGAGTTTGAGAAGTAATTTTTTTTGGTAATATGGTCAAGTGATGTTATTATTTTATTTAGATTATAGTACCTAAAAATTTATAGATTTTTTATGCAATTTTTAAAAAATATATCCATCAAGTTTTTGAGGGGTGTTGCATGAAGGGATGCTCGATGGTCAACATTATATAGAGTTTTTCATTATGTTCGTAACACGATCTGTTACACTAAGTGTCATAATATTATGACATGATGTGTTGGCCGTATTCTCGGTACACTAAAAAATCTATCGACTTTATAATTGTTTTCATAATGAAAAAGAAGAATTAATTAACACTCCAACTTTTAGGTTCCAAGGTATGATTACTATGATATCTACATAAACGTTATTACAATTTTTGGTAAATGATCGATTGCAAGGAAACATGAGTAGCTGTGACGGCACGGCAGACTTTGAGAAGATTTTTTACTAGCTTTTCCATGAGATCAAATCTTCAATATTTATTTTGTTTGTTGTCTTTATATGATCTCTATTATTGATTCACATGTGTTAAGTTTATGATAACAAAGTTAAAAGAGTTAAGTTTATTAACACATATCATTTTAATGATAGAGACCATAAAAAAGCCACACACAAATATGTCCTGAAAATTTGATCCGCTTTCTTAACCATAAATTAAGATATAAATTAATTAATAAATGAGGTTGGTTAGAGTAAAAGCCTTTTCTCTCTTTGCATTGCAGATTGATTAAGCTCTGTATTGTAGGTCGACAACATGTGATGGGTTTGGTGCCACTTAATTCACCACCTCTTTTGGAATTTGGATGAACCGATTCATCACAATACATTAATGTCGTCAGGAATACTGAATATATTCAGTTTTGAGAAAATGCTAAGGAGACTCTTTTAAAGTGAGATTTTTTATAAATTATTTGTTATCTCACGATTATGTTAATTTTCATGCTAACATTATAAAATATGGTATCAAAAAATGAGGTGGGAGATGATCCATAGAAAATCTCACTTTTGAGAGAGTCTTCTTAACATTTGTCGTCAACTTTTTTTATTGATTCAAAGTAGAATTTGTGTAGGAGCTTCTAAGATAACTTATGACTCTTTAATTAAATTTTAACTTGATAGAGAGCATGATTGGTCCAACAGTCTATCTAAATGAGGTTTTTTTGGCTACTTAAACAAAAAATGCAATAAAAACTGAGCTCCAACATACTAGCTAAATGACTAGCTATTTTAATTTTGTGAATAGTATTTAGCTAAATTTAGCTAGGAGTATAGAAAAAGTCAAATTTTGTTGAACATTAAAAACTATAAAATTGCAATTTTTTTTTTGGTAGG